TTTCCTGTGGTACTCTACAAAGGAAAAATTAATAATCCTAATGTACTCGGACTGTGGAGGGGTTCCATGAGGAAATATGACATGGAGACTCCTCACAGGAAGTGGGAAAGGATTCATCAACTACTTACCCAGCAGCAGCCAGTGCAGAACAAGAGAAGGGACATGACAGTGAGCTCTTCCCTTGGTGAATAACCATGCTTTTCCCTAATGTGTTCCCAGACAGCCAGAGAAGGGAGTTGCTACTGTTGGTAACTATCACCTTTAGTTCTCTTCAAACTCTGAGGAGGTTATACTTCCTGCTTCTCACTTATAATTTGTCAGAGGTGCTGACAGTCCTCAAGTTTGTGCATGGCCTTCTTTCTGAATGACAAGCGAGTCTCTAGAAGCAGTGAGCTCTGCTTTCAGATGGGACTAATTTGCCCTAAGCATGGCTCTGGGTATTCTCTGAGGAGAGTTGTTGAGAGGGCCCAAACCTCTGGAAAGTGAACACAAATCCTCTCATTGGTAGGTTGGAGGGAGCCTCCTGGAGCATAGCTACGTGGCTTTCAAGAGATGTTAGCTGCAGTTGCCCAGAGAGAGATAGCAAACAAGGTCAGAGTCAAAGTGAGCACAGGTGCTGTCCCACAGACTTCCCAATACATTGGACAGGCTAGGGCACATTGTCAGCTCCTTAGACTGCAATAAATGCTGAAATCTTTTCAGGTCAATGAGGCCACCCTTCCTGGATTGGTACCCTCTGAGGTTAGTATTTATGGACAGGATATTTAAAAACAAAAAAACAAAAAACTATGAACTCAAGCATGACAGGAGTAAGGCTGGAATCATGTATTTCCCAGAGCTGACCTCTAGAAAGATTTCTAGATGGTCTGGGATGCGTTTATCTTCCCAAGCAGATCTTTTGTGGATACTTCTGAAAAGCCAAGACTTCTCTGCTCTTCAGCATACACTGTTTGGGAGAGGGCGTGTTAAACCACATGGCATTATATTTTACTGTTTCCTGTTCCACTCAGTGTTAATTCCATTTGCTTAGGAAGCACCTCTTTTATCAAAATCTCATAAGACCAGGACCAAGCCGAAATGTCATTTCTGTGAAGCCCTCCTTGAGCCCCTACCTTCCCTGTAAGTTTCTGCTCTCTTACTTATAGTTACTTATGTGCTATCACAACTTCACCAGTTGATGCACATGTTCCCTTTTCCCAAAACTTTCACTCCTACAGCCTTGTTTCGGCCTTACAACATTTCAGAAGGCAACACAGGCAGGTAGGCATGTTATAATCAATGTGTGGAGACAATACAACTTAGTAGTTAAGAGAAAGCTGATGCACCCAGATTTCCTGAGTTCAGATCCTAGCCTTTACCTGTTATGGACCATTTGACCTTTGACAAATTACATAATGTCTCTGGCTCTCCAGTCATGAAATGGTGATAATAAAAGTACTCGAGGGTAGACTTAAATATGGAATCAATGAGGCAAATGCTAAGAATATCGCCTCACTCAATAAGCATTTAGCAAAAGTCTCAGGAAGTGGTTCTATTGGAATTTTTCAGATGTATGTTTTTGAGGTTTTTACCCACCCCGACTCCTACTCAATTATCTTTCAAAAATCACTCACCCATTCAGTAAATATTTATTGAGCTCACAGATAGCCCAGGTGTGACTCCAGATACCCGAGCAATGGCAACAAGACAAACAAGCCCTTGATTCAAGGTTCTTACACTCCAGCAAGGTGAGGGAGAAAGGAAGAAAGGAACAAAAAAACCCCAACAGGATCAAGCATGCCTCTTCGGGGGTACATTCTGTCACACTCCCAAACAAGTCACTATCCTATTTAGTATAAAACTACACACCAAATGCTTTCTGATTCTTTTACCACTGCATTTTTGGAATTCAGCATTTGTTTCAAATGTTCGGTTTCATCTCATCAGTTTCTTCAGGAAAGGAAGTAGAAATCACTCCTAGGATTTGCATAATTACCCCATATGGGTCTCCTCTTCCCCCAAAGCTGAGGTACATAGTCCCAGTGCCTGGTATGAGCCTTTAGAAAGTCCTAATTTGGCCCTTGACTGCTGTTTCTGGGCTCATACAGTTTTAGAGATTTGTATTACAAAAGCATCTCACTACAAGAAAGAGTTCAGCATTCATTCAGAAAAGTATGGACTGGGTCATTCTCTCCCTTGAACTTCAGCCATTAAAATAATTCCACCAAACTAATTCTGCAATTTGGTGAAGAACTTAGGAAACAGCCATCATCTTCTTTCCCACATTCAGGATACACGTTTCATCCATGAGAAAATGCTTTCTTCAATTTGATACTTACAACAGTTGTTATTAACTCATACCTCTTGGCTGTCATTCTTACAGTATCTCCCTTAATGTACAATTCACAACTTGAACTCATGCAGCCCTGCCATATCTAAGCAAAGTTGCACCACAAGAAGCTCATGGTGGTAGTGTACATGTATGAGGAGGAAAGGAGAGAGCAGAGAGTGGAAATAAATGAACTAAAATGTCAAAGTTATGAGTACCCACCCTTCTCCCCAAACTGATGGGAACTCATTCACTTTAAGAGTAAAACTCATGGGGGCTGGAGAGATGGCTCAGCAGTTAACAGCACTGACTGCTCTTGCAGAGGACCCGGCTTCAATTCTGAGCACCCACCTGGAGGCTACGAACCGTCTTTAACTCCAGTTCCATGGGAATCCAAAGCCCTCTTCTGACTTCCATGGCATTGCACAACATGGGTGCACTCACATACATGCAGGCAATACACTCATACACATAAAATAAAAATAATACATTAAATATTTTTTAAAAACAGGAAAACTCATATCCTTGACTAGAAGCAGATGAAATACTTGATAAAGTCATTACATTCCTGGTTTTCAGGTCTTTTCTGAAATGAAAATCTAAGCTGAAAAATATGCTTATGAACAGTAACAGTTTATAAACTGATAAGGCTCAATGGCAGACTGCTTACCGAACTCACACAAGGCCCTGGATTTGATCCCTTGTGCCATATAAAGGAAAGGGAGAAAAGAGCTAACGCAGTGCAAAGATCAAATCACACAACAAATGATGAGGTCTCAGAAACCCACAGCTCAGATCTCGGTATGGAGAACCCGAACCTCTGAGAGGACTTGTGCAAAGACCCGACTGGGCAGCAGCATTGGGCACTGTTGCCCACTGACAACTATAGGAAATGAGCCGTGGAGTCAGAAAGCATGCTGCCTCAGACCACCCGGGATGACCATTACCACAGTATGCAGGTGAAGCCTGGAAACTCATTCTAGTGAAATTGCATAAAGAGTAAACATCCCAAACCAAGAGCAGCACTATGGCTGGACCAAAGACCCCATTATCCACCTCACTCCCCATCTTTGACTCTTTAACTCTCAAAATAACCTTAGGGATCCTTAGAGGATGTTAAAAAAAAAAAATCAAATTTTATCCTCCACAACTCTTCAGAAGAAATGAAGGCGTAAAGATTGAGAGTGACCCACAGACAAAGAGCTAGGAAATAGTACAGCCATGCATTTTCCTAAAAGAAACCACGTTGCCTTGGCCCATGTATCTATTAGTATGCTGAAATTCAGTCCTTATAGAAGGATGAATATTTTGATAAAACCAATGTGCCAAGTAAAACTGAAAATTGTGTCTAAGGTCAAAGAGTAGCCACTAACAAACATAAACAGCTAAATAAGACTTTGGGGAAACCACTCAGAAAAGCACAAAACACCCATTCTACATGCTGAAGTTCCATGGGAAGGTTCTGCAGTGAAAACAGAAAAATTACAGTAAAGGAATTTTCTTAGCTCCTATACATAAATGTGTCAGCCACAAAAATCAAACCACCCTGAAATTATGTGAAATCCATTCAGTTTTAGGTACAAAAAAAACATAGCAGCATTTGTGTGAGGTGTGGGAGACACGTAACCCAAATGTGGTCCTTGGGTTAGTAACTTGAACCAGGAATTCACTCAAAAAGTGTGAGAAGCCTACAAGACAGAGTGTTGAGCAAAAAACATTGTGCGACACATTTGATATAATAGTCATATGATTAACAAACTGTCACATCAAACTTTTCTGCAACATGGGAACACTTTGACACTTTGTATTTTTAAAACTGACATTTTGATTCATTACTGTAAATAGCACTTTGGGTTAAATATTGTGACAAGGAACAGATCATATATATATACATATATATATGCACTCTTTATATTTCACGTGTATATTTTTTGAGCTCTGAAACAGTTTATAATGCATGAAACCTTTTCCTACTTTGACAGTTTTGACCAGTATGTAAACAGCTATTTTATTCGTGAAGTACCCATCTCTTCAGTAAGAATGCAAATGGACTTTCCTGGTTCCACAGAAAGCCTATGAAGTGGAGGGATTGCATGACTGACAGGATGACATCTAAGGAAAGCCTGGATGAGCCTGTGGTGTCCCCACAAAGGATTTTAGAGAGACTGTAATAATGCACTTGGGGGAGGGCGTGTCTTGTCCTTTGTTTTCTCTCTTTTATTTGTTCCTTTGGTGGCATGGAATATATCAAACGGTAAATAACATGTTCCAGGGCAACTGTTACTGTTCACAGTAAAGTAATTCAATTAAGCTGAGCAAAGTATGACCATCAATAGCAGTTAGGAAACTTCAAAGTAAACAAAGTGTTCAGATTTGTAAGATATTTTCTAAGAAAGTATGCTTGACTTCTATCTGACACTAAAACCTACCAACTTTCCACTCTATCTGGAATTCTTAAAAAAAAATTCCTTCTCTCTTCCTCAAATATCCAAGTTTCAATCGATATTAATTTTGTTCCTATGTTAATTCCAAAGTTATCATGCACCTCCAAATTATGAAAACTATAAAAAATAATCCCATTACACACATGCATGCACACATAGGTCTGAAATACAGAAACAGACCAACACACATACTTGTCTTTTGCATTCAACCTTCTCTCTGGACATCATACTATTATTATTCTACTCACCCTCCTCCAAACACCTGGAAAGGGACAAAAAAGGAACATGAGATCTAAATATAACAAGATATTATACTTACTACAGTTTAACTTTGCCTCAGCATTGAAATTTAAATTAGGCAGCAGTGTTCTTTCTGAGAAAACTCTTATATATATATATATGAAAACTGCTCTGCATGTGTGATTTCTCAGAAATGATGCAAATGTTATCAATAAACTCATGGCCAACTAGATGGCCCGGTAGGTAAAGGCACTTGCTGTGCAAGTCTGGCAACTTCTATCCCTGAAATCAAAATCTGGCAACTTCAATCCCTGAAATCAAAAGTTAGAGAGAACCAACTCACAAAGTTGTCCTCTGACCTCCATATACATGCTGTGGTGTGGTACACATGCCCACATACACATAACATGCACACACACACAATCTGCACACACATGCACAATAACTTTGGGGGGTTCTTTTTGTGACAGAGTCTCCCTATAGCTACAGCTGGCCTGGAACTCACTATAGAGACCAGGCTGGCCTCGATCTCACATAGATGCACCTACCTCTGCTTCCTAAGTGCTGGGATTAAAGGCACCACCGTACCTGCCTTTGTAACAATTTTTAAAAACTCATTCTAATCCTACAAAACTCAATCATGTTGTATAAAACTTAGCAAAGCACAATGGACATCATTTAATACATGCAGTAAATATTAAGAACAAACAAAACCAGCAATAGTCAAATTCAAATATTTTTGCATCCTTCTATAATCAAAGCAGCAGTCTAGTTCTTTTCTTCATTAAATTAATCAAGTCCTGCAGGGAAAGAGCCTTTACGCTATGTCCTGTATATGCTCCAAATTGTTAGCAACTAAAGGAGTTTTACAAACTGCTTCAGAAGTTGTTTGAAATTTTAAAATATAGATAGAAAAGTAATACTTTTCCCTTGATCTACTGAGAAAATGAATCAAAGTGTCACCCAGAGAATAAAAATGTACTGTTTGAACTCAAGTCTTGTAATTAATTTCCCAAACTTGTAAGGGGGTAGGTCCCACTCAAACAAGGTTGGTGACTCCTCAGCAGAGGCCTGGAGCACTGTTGCTGGAATAAGGCCTCTTCTGCATGTGCTTGGGAAGAATAGAGGAGATGCTACAGTACTTGAAGACAGAAAATTTGGATGCAAATCAATTTTCAGGTATTTATTATTTAAGGTGAATTTGACTTTCTTTTTTTCATTGCAAAATGAAAACAATATAAGCATATTGGATTTTATGAAAATTAAAAATTAAATTGGTAAGGACACTTTTCCTCAAAGTTTTAGTTTGCCAAATTTTAGCAGCAACTCATTTTAAAATTTTTTAAAAGGTAATACAAACTCAACTAAGTTCAATTTAACAAAAAAATTGCTTTAGATGCTCAACTTGTGTGTTTAGGTCCCTCCCGTGTGCCATGATTGAAAGACAAGGAAGGAGGAACACAGGAAGGAAGAAAATTCATCCAAGTCATGATCTCTGTCCCCAGGAGTCCACACTCATTTTACACTGGAAAGCATTTCACATGTGAGCTTTCATAGCACTTAGCATTAGACAATAAGGTAGGAAACCAAAAAGCATGGTACTGAGGATGAATGGGTTCTATGGAAGTTTGGTGAGGTAGGACATCAGGAAGAGTCTCAGAGCTTCAGAAACCATGGCATTATTTCTCCACCCCATAAACATCCCCTGGGTATGTGAAATGTGAGAGGAAGGCCCTCTCTATATAACTCTGTCAAGGGGTACTGGGGACTTGCTAGGACCTCCAGCACTTACTCAGAGTGTGTTACTCCCCGTCCTAGTTCATTTGTGTTGACATAATATCTCACACTATATACTTTACAAAGGACATCAAAGCAATGTCTTTGCGCTGTGTCTTCTCCTGGTAGAAGACCAAAGGGCAAGAGCGGCAAGCAAGAGAGGGAGGGCAAAATCCATATTTATCATAGTCACGTTCTTAAGACAACAAACCTACTCCTATAAAAACAGTACTAATAGATTCAAAATAGCAGACCCTTCAGAATCTAACCACTACTTGTGAGTGCCCCCTACTCCACGTCCTGCTGTTATTGGGAATTATATTTCCAAAACATGAACTTTGGGGGACAGATTCAAATTATCATACTGTTGGGCATATGTAACATTACAGTTATGCCTGAATAGAAACAGCCTGACTCACAGCCTCATTCTAAGCCAAGAGTACACCCAAACTACTGAGAACCTGTTCTTTCAGAATTTTCTTGGAATTGTGCTCTAGACCAAGGGCTCACTCATTCTTTTATTGAAGCAGTATATCTAGTATGAAATGGGAAAGTAAAAGTTGGATCATTATCTTATCAGAGAAGAATTTTGCCCTTCCCAATCCACAGACCTAGAACAACACACACACACACACACACATACACAAACACACACACACAAACATAACTACACAAGCACAAATAGATGCTATCAATTTAATCCCATTATTGTTTAGAACACAAATGGGATAATCATCATACTTTCATTGTTTCCAATGAATATCCAGTGCTGCAGTGCCTTCTAGAAATGAAAAATAATCCACTCACATTCATGCACTGTTTGTGGGTCAAGGGCAAGGAAATGGTTATGAGGAATCAAAGGTATATACTTTAGGTTACAAAAGGAGCTTAGTAGGCTTTTTTACATTATAAACAACCGATATAATCTTAATGTTTAAATTCTAATTATTTTTATTTTATGTGTATGAGTGTATTGCTTGCATGTATGTAAGTGTACCCATGTTGTGTAATGCCCGTGGAGGTCAGAAGAGGGTGTTGGATCCCCTGGAACTGATGTTACCAATGGTTGTTAGCTACCACATAGGTACTGGGAATTAAACCTGGGTCCTCTGCAAGAGCATCTAGTGTTTTTAATCACTGAGTCATCTCTCCAGCCCCAGGTTTAACTTTTTGGTTATAAAGTTAAGTAAAAGTCTTTTGTCCAGAGTATGTCCATATTGTAAAAGTCATTCCCACAATACTACCCTGCATTTCTTCCTTCCTTCCTCTGCAATGAGCTACTGTCCCTTTTTGTGCCTTCTTAAAACATTTCTAGGTCCAACCCTTCTCAATTTGTAGCCTTCAGGGTTGAAGAAGAAAGTGAGGCAGGGACCAGTGTGACAAGTTGAACTATCACCTAGCTGAGAATCAGTCTGTGACCTCAAGCAATTCTCTCCATTCAGTGGGCCACAGCATCCTGAGATATGCAGGGTTAGAAGACATTCAACAGTCCTCCCTGCTCATAAACATTCAGTCTCTGTGTCCTGCTGTTTCAAACAGTTTCCAAGTGACAACTGGGGGCTCAGCAGTGACACTGACCCTGAAGAGGCTCTGACATGGCCACATCAACAGTTTCTATTGTGGGGAAGGTCAGGGACTTCTTCAGAAAATAGCCGATCTAAACAGAGCCCAAGGAGTGTCATGGCAACACTGCTCGCAAGCTGCCAGAGGTAGAGAGGAAAAGCAGCCAATATGCTATGCGTGCGCAGCTGCCACACTTCAGAGCAGCGCTCAAACCTAGTTAATATCATCTTGCTTAATACTGAGTCCCATAGATCATAAGCTATTTTTACTATGTGTTTAACAGATTTGTGTATTGTCCTCTCTGCCAACACTTCCAGAGTTCGATACAGAGGACCGGGGGCATGGAAAGCCTTCAGGACCTTAGGCCACCTGGAGTTGGAGGAAATGAGAGAAGCAAAAGAAAAAGAAGAAAAATAAATACAAAGGAGGAGCTTTTCATTGGAATCAGAACTAGCAAGAAAAGGAGAGCAAGATGTAAAAGCCAACGCTACAATAATAAAGCATGCACATCCAACCTCTCCACAGACTTAAAAATGTACATGTTAGAGAAGAGGCTGGGAGAAGGTGGTCCTCTCCTTGGTGAGCACGAGCCTTCTCACCTCAGGTCTCATCACAACCTTTGCCAGTTTTCCCTCATCTCCATATCCACTCCTCTTAGAGCAATAGTGCATACCACTCCACAAAGCCCTAGATGTACTTCCTAAAAGGTAAGCACCTGGCCCAATAGATACTGCCTTTCAATGTCTAGAGACAAGAGCTTTAGCTAAGAGTCCTATTTATAAGCAAACTGTCTCTGATGTAGGAATGGGAATTCTAGATTTTGATGGACCTGTGTGACAGCACCCAGGACAGGGTCTGGCACACAGTAGACATCCAGGGATTGCTCTCTTGTGTCCATCTATAAGATACAGTAGTAGTGTCACCTGTAAATATGAGGGACAGGAACTGGAAAAGGAGAGAAAATAAAAAGATAGCAATACAAAATAGAATGTAAATATAAATAAAGTTGAGCCAGGTATCATGGTATGAGTTTTAATCCCAGTTACATAGGAGGCTGAGGCAGAAAGTCCACTTGAGCCTGGGAGTTAAGGACCACATAAAAACTATGTATTTTTTTAAAAAATGTCGAATGAGAAGACTGATTCCAAAGCCAAGGGATATATAAAGGTGATTTCCTTAGAGGGAAGGGTATGTGCTGGCCCTTCAAACAGGAAAGCAAAGACCACATAAGCAAATGAAAGGAAGTCTTTTCATAAGAGCTGATCCTCTGCACCAGACCAGGGCACTCTGGGGTTGTTAAATTTATTAGTTCCATATCTTGGGTCACTTTGGCATTCCATGTTCCCTACACTGAAGGAAAGAATAAAGAAGAATAAGACCACCCCACCCACTGACCACTGAAAAACTATGTGGGAAGAGAAACAGCAATGAAATCGGACACGGAGGCTGTGGGCTTACTCCATGCCACTATTCCACTGCCAGGGTTTAGCTAGGTGGCTCATCCGGCTGCAGAACAGAAAATTCTAGAGAAGTCCAGTTGGAGTCCTTGAGGCTTTGGGAGAGCAATCTTGTCCAAGGCTCACATGTTGCAGATGAAGATGAAAAATGATTGTGCTCAACTACACATTTCTGTGATCTCTGCCCAGTTCCCTGACATACCTGATATTCACTGGCTTCTGGGAT